TTTCCTTTGCGTCTGAAGCTTTGGAAATTTTTTTAATTTTTTAATACACTCCCGCGAAGTACATTTATCCTACGATAGATGGCGCACGTTTACACGTGTAAACGTGCGCCATCTATCGTAGGATAAATGTACTTCGCGGGAGTGTATTAAAAACCTTTCTGAAGTTTTATGGCAATCGTACTATGCCACAAACCTTCGCTGGAGTATATTAAACAACTTCCCAAAGTTTTACGGCAATCGGATAAACGGTGTGGTAATGCATGAAGGACAGACAGACAGACACACACATACACTCATTTTTATATATATATAGATTACAGCAAACTTTCTTTTGTCTTTATATATTCCATCAAACATATAAAATAAAGAACAAAGAACAGTTTTTCTAAGATAGTAAAAAAAAAGTGAAATAGTAATGAAATAGTAGAAAAAGAAATAAATTGAAGAAAAACAGCATAGAATAAGACTTTAAATAAATATAAATTTTATTATACAAAATACTTTGTATTCTATTATATTTTGAAGGTATTTGCTTTAAGGATGTTAAGCTTACAATGAGTAAAAATGTTTTGCTTTTTCTAAAAGTATGTTTGTTTTTTCTTTTATTCATTTCATTCCCTTGCAAATCAGTACTTTTGAGAAATTAAATAAAAGTAATTATTAAACAAAGAGAATGAAGTTCAAACACATCTGTTTATTTTAAGTTTTAAACTAAATTAGTAAGGAAAATACAATAACAAAATTTCATTATAATTGTTGTGGAAAAATGATTATTGGTTCAATTATTGGTTACCTCCAGTACTAAATGTTTAAATAATAAATTAAATTATTAAAATAACATGCATTAAAAGGCTTTTAAATAGTCTTATTAATGTAATGTTTAAAATTATGAAATTTTAAGTAAAGCTCGTCACGACCCAGTAACAAACCATTTGCAAACTACCATTGATTCAGAACAAAAAACTTATTAAAATAATAACCAAAGTTGAATTTATTTAGTTTTGTAAATAGTAGACAAAATTCTTGAAAATATTATTTCTGGAAAAAATAAAGTATTTGTAAAAATTTATCAAATAAGATGTTATATATTTTAATTGGTAAAAATGATTCAATTCAGTTAATTAAGTTCTGTTTTTATTTAATGATTTATTTAAATGATGTCCACATTTTCATTCTATGCAAAGAACTAATCTTTGCATTGTATTTATATATATATATATATTTTTGTTTAAATATGTTTTAAATTATTTTTAATTAAAATTTGTCAAATTATATAGTTATTCATTCCATGTTATTTGACTATTCCAGAGATGTGAATTGTGTCCATCGAAAGATGGAGCTCTGAAGCACACAGATAATTCAGGTTAGATTTATTTTTTATTAATTATATATATTGAATAAAAAAAACAAGTTTTAATGAGAAAATATTTTAGTTATTTTCTTTTAAACCAAACAGAGTAATTTGGAACATTTTTTTATTAACTTAATTTGATGTTTTGGTTGACAAAGATTTGTATAAAAGTTAAATATCACATGAAATGAATTATAAATTAATGTGAAATAACTACAATTTTTAAAAGAAATTATTAACAACAATAATCTACTTTTAGGTCCATTAAAAGTCATGGGATCCTAGAGTAGAGCTGGTCCCTTTGCAATTTTGTATTTTATTTATTTATTCTTTTGAACAAATGAAATATATATATATATTTGTTTATTAATAAAAAGGAAACTTAAAGTTGTTTTGTTAGTAAAAATAACAAATTTATATGGGTAGGAATTACTAAGGGCCCCTAAGTTTTCTTCAGATCTGGGAAAAATCCCTGGGTCTTGACAAGAGACCTTTTCTCAACAGACCTGTCTGTTTTAATATGCAATAACAATAATCATGAGAAGACACGTGAGTTTCTTGCTGATGGGCTTGGTTGTCTGAAAGTATTTGTGAAAAACTGTTATCAAAATGAACTCCAATTAAGTAGGTTATTGTTATATGTTTTGAAGTTATAAATTTCAGTATGTTATCAGTTATAAGAAATATTAAATTTAAATGTGACAGAACTAGCATAGCACAAAAACTGTGAATTCCAAACATTTTTAAAATTGAAGCAAAATATAATAACTATGTTTTTATTTCAATGAAACTGTGCTGTTTATTTTTCTGTTACTTTTCATAGACACAATGTAGTGCCCTTTTTAAACACTGGCAAATTATTAATCTTTTATTTGGTTGGGACACTAATTACAAGGCACGTTTCGGGCTCTAGCCCCTTCTCAGCCAACTTAAAAGTTCGATATGCAACTGTAATTGTCGAAATTAATTTTTGCATATCGAACTTTTAAGTTGGCTGTGGAGGGACTGGAGCCTGAAACGCACCTTATAATTAGTGTCCCAACCAAATAAAATATGAATAATCTGCCAAGTGTTTAAAAAGTGTCACTACATTGTGTCTATGAAAAGTAACCTAATAACTATGTAATAAAAATAAATAAGTACAATAAACAATAGATATATAAAATTGAAACTTGCAAAGATACAAAAATAAAAGACAAAAAGGTAAATAAAATAACAAAAAAGAGAGAAAAGCAGTAACTCTAAAGTAAAAAACAACTTTTGACAAAATAGCAGTCCAGACATGTAGCATCTATTTCAAACCACACTCTCCATTTAAGACCACCACAGAACATAGTTTGATTATTTATACAAGCATTTTATTAAATATGCAAATGCAAAAATTATATAATTTTTACCTAATAAAAAATGACATAAGTAACAAAACAAAATTGTGGATTCATAAACAGAACTACAGCTATCTGTGTTAATTAACAATAATTTAACAAACTAAGCTATATAGAGCACTCAAATGTGTTTTCCATCATGGCTTATAACTATTCTTTCTACCTATTAAACCTTTGAATTTTCAAACCTCAAAAACTAACATTTACAAGACACATTGGGTGAAAAGCTCCAACGTGTATTCACTCATTTCAACATAGTTTCATCACATTCAAGCTGATCAAAATCAATGGGTAGCCAGCCATGTCATCTTCTTGTAGGATGAACCTGTATTCCTATCCATTATGGGTTTGACTAAATCCTCAATAGTATTGGCTGGATGGTCAGAAACAAATTAAACATATCTAAAACAGATTAAGTCCTGAAAAATTTATAATACAACCCAAATTTGAATCTAGTTTCTTAAAATAACATGCAGCCACTTTTATTATAAAGAAAATCAACTTATTTTGATATAATATAAGCCAAATAATGCTGGATTTCTTTTGCAATAATTTTATAAGTTTTTAAAATTAATTTATACTAATATTATAGAGGTAAAGTTTGTAAGTTTGGATGTAGGACATAATCTTCGAAACTACTCATCAAATTTCAAAAATTCTTTCACCAATATTTAAAATGGACCTTCAGGGTGGACATAGGCTATATATTATTCTGTTAAATATTCATATAAATCAAAAGATATCATCTAGGTAAGCGTTATATTTTTGGTGTCAGTGGGTGGTGAGGGGCAAGATGTGTATGTATACGAGATAGGTAACCGCGCAGTCGGCAAGGTACACAGTGCACATGTCCAAACTTGTAGTATATAAAGTTGACATGGGGAATGCATGCACATAAGTTTGTTTTATTTGAACTCAGTCTTAATGTTCGATTTTATGTTTGAATTTATATTTATGAATCATTCAAGAAGATCCAACTTATTTTTCGAATTTAGTAAATTAGAAGGAGAACCCAGAAGGAGTTATGAAAACGTTTGTTGTTTACCGTATTTTACGGACTATAAGACGCACCTTAATTTTTAAGCAATTTTTAAAAAAAAATAACATTTTTACCATTTTTACCGCCTAAATTCAATCCTTTTATACGGATTGAAGCAAACGCTGATCCACCAATCAACGCTAGTAGCACTATCGGATGTCTGCTGATTGTATGATGGTCGCATGATGATCGCTGGCCAATCCGCGGTCGTGGATTCAGAACCACCAGTCGTCTCATGATCCGAGTTTCTGTAAGGTAGCCAACCAGGTGGAGATAGGGGACTTGAAACCCACTCCACGGCACCTGTGTAAGGTTGCTGTCTCCTAGGTGGGATCTTTTAATCCCACGTCAGGATGAACCTAAGGGAAGGTTGTATGTGGATTGTGTATGTGGAGGAGGCAAATGATGACAAGTGTTTTACACAAGAAAGCCGTTTATTTGTTAACATATATGCTTACATCGACAATTGACAATCCTTCACTAGGTTCTTCTCGTCGAAGATGTGGTTAGGCGAGAACTTCGGCATCTGTCTGGTCCTAGGACAGACGAGATGAGGTCGCTGAGCAAGGCGGACGATCGAAAGGAGGAAGCGGCAGAGTTCAAAGTTCTTGGCGACAACACACCACAATATAAGTCACGACCTTTTGTGGAATACGGAGGAGAGCCTCCCCAACCTTGAATTTCGGATTTTTATAGTTTTTTCTCCCACTATTTGGACTTCTGATTGGCCCCTCATCCCCTTCCTCGCTTCCTGATTGGTCTCTCTTTTGTTTTGGGGAAACCAAGACCAACTTGGGTCACGGAAAAGGTGTCTGCTCGATGCCGTTCTGTCGATTGTTCTTGGGGATTGTTGACAAAATTGCAAGACTAGCACTCATAATTTAGCTCCGTAACTCGCAATTTCTGCCTTCTGGGTACTCGACCGATCATATGCAATGATTTATCTCTCTTAAATCTTTCCCTCTTTTCCGAAATTGTTTCTCTAGATTGATTGTTTATGTTCGCTTTGGTCAAAGTTCTACCTGTTTATGATCACTTGTGTCTGACATAACTTTTCATTTTGACATTGACAGTTCATTTAACATGTGTTGGAGTCATCCGGGACTCGTTTACATTTTGTGCTGTGTTGTTTAAATTATGGTATTTTCCTCTCCCTCTCATATTTAATCTATTGTTATTATTTAATTATAAGAATACCACGATTTACATGATTTCGGATCTCAGTTGGGTCCTCACATTTCTATGGCGACAATTGTTGCTCATTTGAAAAGAGAAAAAGTGCGGGAATCATACGTCCAGACGATTCTATCCCGACACCCCGCAATTCACGTTCGTCACATTGGTGCACTGCTGCTGCCAGTTGAATTCAATGTTGCCAGATAGAGATGGATTTCCCGTGGCATCAAATATATGGCCATTTTTAAGACACAGGAATTTTAAATCAAACACTGGATGTTTTTATATTAATTTCGAGTATAAGACGCACCTGAATTTTGGTGGCAATTTTTTGAAGAAAAAAGTGCGTCTTATAGTCCGTAAAATACGGTATCACTTAGTGGTACTATGCACTAGTTAGTGGTTGCTGTGAATCTTAATTATTGTTATCCCAGTGTGGTAAGCAGATATCTAAAAATTTTCTAATTAGTCTCAGAAGAGGGGGGACCTAATTCTTGCATTTGGTGAAAATGGGTAAGATCGGCTATAATCTAATGATCTTAATCTTTGCTATCGTTTTTGTTCGAGCAACGCTGGCTCATCTGCTAGTTATTAATAAAGGGCTGGATTCACAAACACTTTACTGAAATAATGATAAGTAATTTGTCGTTATGAGCTATAGTGATGATGAATGTATTCACAAAACTGTTGTTAATTGAAATTTCATTCATCTGCTTTGTTATTTTATTTACAACTGATGTGAATAACCTTTTCTTAAGTTGTAAATAAACCATCTTTCAAGTATTTTCACCATCTTAAAAGATGGTGAAAATACTTAGCTTGTAATTGATATCAAGAATACATTATTTATGCTTGTCAATTATAATTTCTGTTCATTGATGATGATAAAGTTTGTAATCTTAGATATTATTGATTATCAAAAGGACTAATTTTTAAAATTTTATTAATGAATATCAATTGCATATAAAAATGTACTAAATGAGCGTGTGTGTTCTACTCATGATTTATTTTAAAATTTTTCATAGTGACTGTTTCTAATCTGTTGTACAAGTTGATGATTATGTTAATCAAGTAACAATATCTACTACAATTACATATCTGTGTTGTTTTAGGTGAAATTGGACAAAAGTATATTACTTTTCTTATCAGTAATAAATGTCATTTTTACTATTTTATTTCTAAGTGCTTTTCAGCATGTTTATGGTAACCTAATAAAATTACAGAATATATTTGGTAGACATATACTTCAGAACATATTCTCTGCTTAAAGCGATTATGATTCTTTATATCATGAACTTATTTCAAAAAAATATGTAAAAATTGTTAACTAATATTTTGTATCATTGTCCTTCCATGCTTTTATGTCCACTCAATAAATGCTAAAACCAGGAGGAGTAAAACTTTTAATTTCT